GGGGGGGGGGGGAAGGAAGGACATTGATCGCGATTTAATTCGTCCTTTTCTCGCACGCATGCACGCACGCATTCTTTCTCTCTCCTCTGATCTGTCTATCCCTCTTTCGCTTCCTCTCTTACACTTTCTCTCGCTCTCTTTCTCTCTCGTACGCGCTCGCACGTTACCATACAACACGGAAAATGTAACGGAGATAACGATTTTCTTCCTCTCGCCGTTCGTTCATAAATGTCGAATCTAATTTTAGAGGCTCGTTTTCTATATTTACACGCGCCGTGTAAAATCACAACTTTCAGTCTGACAGTCGCGCCGATTCACATTTTATTTTATTTTAAATTTTTTGCCTTTTCAAATGATGAGTAGAACACGCTCAGTATTCTCGCGGGGAACACTGATCCCCTATATTGTTACGATTTACAATTATTATATTTTATTCATCCCCCGAGAAAAATAACAAAATGTATATATATATTTATATATATGAAGATAGATATATATACATATATCGTGTGTGTGTATATACATATATATCCATAGTTAATCCGTAATTTGTATATATTATTATATAAAGAGATATTAATAATAGTACTTTTTTTTTTATTTAGTTTAATAATGTACAAAGGGGGCACACAGGGGGCTGTCGCGCGATGGTGAAAAAAACAACAAAACGCCTAAACGCGCCCCTTATCAGCTAAGCCTAATCCCTAGGTAACGCCTATTTAACTACACTCATAATTTTCACTTGCACAGCCATAGTTTCTTTCATCGCTCACTCAATCCTCAATCGTTTAGAACGTCTCCTCGATCGCCCGCGGTTCCATGCGATTCCGGGGTCCGCGTCTCAGCCGCTTTGCTGCCGGCCGAGACAGCCAACCGAATGAACGTGGCTGCTAGACAACTCGCATTCAATCAAGAACAGAATTTTGAACCGAAAGATCGTGAGGTGCAAGTGCGTTGGAAAGAAAGATCCGCGCGATGATCGCAAAAGAATGGAAAAAAAAAAAAAACGCTTTAAGAAAATCCGCCCGACTCCGAGGATCTCTCTGTCTATAAAAGAAGACCAATTTGAGAACAAGTTAAATTTCTTTAAGTACTCAATGTCTATATATGCTGTACAACCTGATCCCTCCCTCCTCCTTCGGTTAACCCACTCGAAATGTGTATGCAAATGGTTACCGCGTCCGCATAATCGACGTCGTCGAGTCATCGCATTCCGCGGATCGTGCGGCGCGAAATTCGATCGTCACTCGACGCCCCCAGAATCGGATAAACTGGCCGGGCGTAACGAGGATCAGAAAAAAATTCAGGAGAAACGTTAGTATTCCACTCGTTCGTTCGCCTTTACCCGCTCGTTCCCGCCCGTACCGAAAGTATCTGGAGAGAACGCAACTGGTCCGTCG